GGATATGACGAATAGAATCAACACATCTAATATGATTAGGATACTTGCATATGTCCGCATGGGTATAGCTCAACTGGTTGTGGAAGTGGTAAGTTGGTACAAGGTCCTACGTCAAATCCTGGCAGCTGCAGTGTGTGAATTTCAACTCCAATGAGAGTTGGTTCCTTATGGACACCAGGTCCGGTTCCGCTACCTAAACGGACCGTTGAGTCACCATGATTTACATTGCTCCATCAAATACTTGTCGGACCAAGAGATGGGGGCCCTAAGGGCGAGGAATTTCGCCTCTTGGTACAAGGATACTTTACATATTTGGTAGTTAAGATTTAAAAAACAACCAATATTATAATAAGATCTTATTTGTATGTGTTAATAAAGTAAAATAATGAAATTTAAAAACTTAATTCGAAAATTATTTATAATTATATTTTAATGCTCAACTACTATTCCAACAAAATCAAATAAAAAGAGAAACATATTGGAGTATACTAAATAAACGCATAAATGCACCAAATTATGCAATGTAAGGAAAGATACATTATACAACTATATTGTAATATAATTTTGCTTTAGATGATAATTAATACTTACCAAGAGATCTATAAAAAATATATAAAAAATAATGCATAACAAAATATCAAGTTTTAAGTAAAAGAAACAAAAATGTTATAGTGGAAAAGAAACAAAAAAAAAAAAAATAGCTGCAAGGCGTGAACATAAACACTCTAGCGAGTACGTATTAATTAATGTGCAAAATACAAAATAGATGCTATGCATGAATATAATAGGAAATATATATTTATTAATGTATACAATACAAAATTGTAGTACGTATTACCAAACATTCCCTTAAAATATTATGGTAAAAAACCCAATTCCACCAAATTTCGCATAGTCGAATTATGACTCACAAATTTTACAAAATTTAATAGATCAACAAAACTGAAAGAAAAACAAAATAGCAATGTGGGTATCAAAACATGGCACCGGTCAACAAAGTCGCATGTACCAATCTTATATAACATATGAATATCATAATAGCAATGAGCTAAAAACGTTATGAAAAGTTAAAAACTACAAAATTAATAGGTCAACATACTATTTTTTTTATTATTGAAAATATAAAAAATAAAATAACATAGGCAAATAACACGGTCCGATGAGTTTCTCGACTCTGATATATTAATTCCTTGCAATGACTGTAAATGTTAATATCTTCTTTATTTGAAATAGGCTTTTCGCTATATCATGTATATTGTATTTGGTCATATCTACAAAAAAATTTGAACACCGTATCGATGCAGCATGTGGGATCAAAATTGGATTCCTGAACAATATCAGCGAGGAACACAATACTAATATTTTGCGTCGTATAAGAGTTGGTCAAACAATTGGTGGAGAAAACTTGTATTTACATTCTTATTATAATTTGTCTTATATAATACAAGGATGAGACTATCTAAGGAAATAAATCAAATTGATTGTGAATCAATTTACAAGGAGAAAGATCTGGAATGAGATAACGTAAATCGGAATGTCTGATTCTATGTTGATTCCTTTATACGACCCCTCAAAATTAATGTTCCATCAGCAACATTGATTTTGCTACGCAACTTTTGAAAACGAGAACGTGTGCTACACGCAAACGACCTCGTTTAACAAAATCCGAACAAAGTGAAGATCAATAGCTATATGTTTCGTCCTGGAGTGCATAACTGGGTTGAGACTTAGTTGAGTTGCACCAACATTATCACAAAGCAACAACGGAGTCTCGTGAAGCTTGATACCAAGTTCATTTAGAAAAGATTTAATCCAAGCCATGTCAGAGGCAGCAGTGGCAAGAGCTCGATACTCCGCTTCGGTGGATGAACGTGCAACACCTTTTTTCTTACGAGTGCGCCAACTAATCGGATTGTTACCAAAAATATAATATACGCAGTAGTTGACTTGCGGTCGTCTAGATTACCTCCCCAATCGGCATTGGAGAAACCACGAAGGATTGGATTAATTTGTCGTCGCAAAAGAAGACCAAAATGAATGGTATGTTTTACATAACGTAAGAGCCTTTTAACTTGCTGCCAATGGGAAACCGTAGGCTGATGCATGAATTGAGCAAGACGGTTGACAGCAAATCCAATGTATGGGTGTGTAAGAGACAAATATTGAAGAGATCCAATGGTCCGACGATATTCAGTGGCATCACTGCTTGGAGTGCCGTCATTAAGAAGTCGTTTGGTGGTTACCGACATAGGTGTGTGAACCTCTTTCGCTCCTGCCATCTTCAATCTGCTAAGGAGATCATGAACATATCAATTTTGAGAGAGAAACAAACCTTGCTTTACCGGTATCACTTCTACTCCGAGAAAGTAATGCAAATCACTCAATTCTTTTAGGGAGATTTGACACCCAACGACTTCACAACCTTTTGCAAGAACTGAGTGTTGTTTCCTGTTAGGATCAAGTCATCAACATAAACCAAAATATAGAAGAGAATGCCGTCACGATTGTAGATAAACAGTGAATGGTCTGACTTTGAATTGAAAAATCCCAATTCTAATAAACCGGACGTAATCCATTGTACCAAGCTCTCGGCGCCTGTTTAAGACCATAAATAGATTTTTGAAGAGCACAAACATACTGAGGATGAGAAGAATCAACAAAGCCTATTGGTTGTTGCATAAAGACTTGCTCAATAAGCTGGCCATGCAAAAATGCATTATTTACGTCGATTTGGTGGAGCGACCAACCATTTGAGAGATCCAAAGATAAGATTAGCCGAATGGTTGTGGGTTTTATTACCGGGCTGAATGTTTTGGTGTAGTCCACACCGCGGGGTTGATTGAACCCTTTCGTGACGAGACGTGCCTTGAATCTGTCCACAATACCATCTGGGTGACGTTTAACACGGAAGACCCACTTGCAGCCAACAATATTACAACCTGGAGGTTTTGGAACAAGTTTCCAAGTGCCATGGGAAACCAAGGCCGTAAACTCATCGGCCATAGCTTTGCGCCATTTGGAGTCCTTAAGTGCTTGAGAGGCACATGTTGGTTCCAAAGGCGATGCAAGAGGATACTTAGTGGTTACGGATAATTGTTTCGGACAAAAAATATTATTTCGAGCTCTAGTTATCATTTGGTGAGATCGCTGAGTGGCTACAGGTGCAGGAATTGTCGGTAAAGAATGCTCAATTGTAGGTAAAGATTGAGAAGTACAAGGAGCAGCCATACCTGGATCACAAATCAGAGTGACGGTGGTAGGAGTGTCATGCCCAATAGGTGTGTTAGTGGAGCCATCCGAAGAGCCAAGGCGAACAGAAGGCACTGGAGAAGGCAATGTGGCATTCATAGGGGAAGGAGCACGAGTTATTACTTTGACTTGACCAGGTTTATTTTTTAAGGGAAACAAGTATTCATCAAAGGTAACGTGTCGTGAAAGATATAATTTACCCGTTTGAAGATCCAAACATTTGAAAGCATGTTGAGTAAGTGAGTACTCGAGGAAAACACAAGGTTGAGACTTTGGTTGGAGCTTGTTTGTTCGGTAAGGAACAAGCCAAGGGTAACATTGACAGGCAAAAGTCTGCAACTTGTGATAATCGGGGGTACGATTAACGAGTGCTTCAAAAGGGCTTTTTCGTGCGAGCAAAGGAGTGGGGTGATGATTGATGAGGTACACCGCAGTGGTTAGAGCATACGTCCAGTAAATAGAAGGGACCGAGGCATGATGGAGAAGCGTCATCCCTGTTTCAACAATGTGACGATGACGACGCTCAACTGTACCATTTTGTTGAGGTGTGTGTGGGGCGGTGGTGTAATGGCTGATACCACGGCTAGTGAGAAAGGACCGAATTTTAATAAATTCACCACCATTATCGGAAAACAAGTTTCTTATTTTGCACAGAACCTGATTTTCGACTATGTTGGTAAATTTGACAAATATGGAGTAAATGTCGGATTTGTGGTGTAAGGGATAAAGACAACAATACTTTGTGAACTGATCAACGAGTAAAATATAATATTTGTAGCCATCAATAGAAGAAACTGGTGAGGGTCCCCACACATCCGCATATAAAAATTCGAAAGGTGCAGTACTCTTAAGAGAAGTTGAACTGAAAGGTAGTTTATGTGATTTATTGCATTGACAAGAAATACAAGATAATGTATACTCGGAAGAAACAACAGGTAAGGCATGACTTCGAAGTAATGACGAAAAAATATTTTGAGATGGATGCCCCAAATGATGCCAGAGGTTAAAAGTTACCCGAGTTCCAACTAAGCGAATTTGATTTGCTTGAGGTGATGACTATGGAAAAGCTACAGGATATACACCATTCTCACACCTACCGCGCATAAGCATTGCCCCCGTCCTCCGATCCTTCACAAGGTAAAAGAAAGGGTGAAACTCAATGATAACATTGTTATCAAGGGTAAATTTATGAACAGAAATTAGATTTTTGTGAATAAGCGGCAAATGTAATGTTTCTTTTAATGTAAGAGTGTGAGATGGAGAAGGAAGGGTTGTGGAACCAATGTGAGCAATTTTTAAACTTGTACCATCTCCAAGAACCACCTCATCTTGTCCCTCATATTCGGAATGAATATAGAGATTTGCCAAGTCAGACGTAATGTTGTGAGAAGTCGCTGAATCAAGAAGCCATTTGCCATTTGATGGTGTTGTCGAGGTAGCACAATTTGCAGCAGGATGTGACTGAAGTTTGAAACATGTTTTTGCAGTGTTTCCAGGCTTATCACAGATTTGACAAACAACAGGTGATTTCCTTGGTCCAGATTTGTTGGTGAAACCTTGTTTAGAGCGAGATCGGTTGTTCTGGAAACGAGTATTAGATGGTTTCCGTTGAGAATAATTTGTCGTGACGACAAGAGCGGAAGCCTTGTTCTCCATTCGTTTGACGTAATTTTCATGACCAATGAGCAGATCATGCAATTCCGCAAAAAAGAGAGAAATTTTGCGGGTGCAAATGGGTGCGACTATATCTCTAAAGTCCGAACCAAGACCATTAAGCATGTAAAGTTTCAATCATCGTCGGAAACTGGTGCATCAATAAGAGAAAGTTCATCGGCAGTCACCTTGACTGCGTGAAGAAACTCAGACACCGTGCCAAAACCCTGTTGAATAAGGGTTAGATCCTCCTTCAACTGTATAATCCGAGCCCGAGATTTGCTTGCAAACAAACGGGCTAGATGTTGTCAAGCATCACGACTGGTAGTGGTCATTGTGATGAGAGGCATCACGGTTTCAGAAACCGATGAGAAGATGGCATTGAGTAGCAACTGGTCTTGTCTATACCCATGTGCATAGTGAGCCAAATCACCAGCGGAGGACTTCTCAGTGGGTGTGGAAGGACACGGAAGGGTTCCATCCAAGTATCCCATGAGATCATAACCAACTAAGATGGTTGTGAATATTGCATGCCAAGAAGGGTAATTTGATGTTGTAAGTTTGACGGGAAGTTGGCTTGAGGTGTTAATGGTAATGAGAGGCAAGTCAGAAGAAGAGCTGGTGGTTATAGGCATATTCCCGAAAAAAAGAGGATCGTTATTCTCGTAAGAGAAAAACCTACTGATACCATATAAGAGTTGGTCAAACAATTGGTGGAGAAAACTAGTATTTACATTCTCATTATAATTTGTCTTATATAATACAAGGATGAGACTATCTAAGGAAATAAATCAAATTGATTGTGAAACAATTTACAAAGAGAAAGATCTAGAATGAGATAACGTAAATCATGGAATGCCTGATTCTATGCTGATTCCTTTATAAGTTGGACCGAAGCTAAATTCCTTTTTATTTTGTTTGATTTGTTGACCGATTAACGTAATAATATTACTGTCTAGTATTGTAATATTACTGTAAACACAATAATATTTTTGTGGTTGATGGTAATATTTTTGTCATTACAATAATATTATTGTAGTTAACAATAATATTACTGTTAACCACATCAGTATTAATTATTTTGACTTTTTATTATATTTGCCTTTGTGGAACGGTTAATATATTAATATTACCCTGTTACACAATAATAGAGATTTTTGTTGTGTTATAATTACTGTGTTAGTGAGTAATGTAGCAATATTACTCTTTAAACAGGTCAATAATTGTTGAAGAACAAAAAAAGTTATCAAAAAACAAAAAACAAATTGAGGTTAAATTGAATAAAATGATAAAATTGTGTTATGGGTCAAAATTGAATAGTTAGTGAAATTTGGGATCAAATTGAGGTTAAATTGAATAAAATGATAAAATTAGAGCATATTAAAATATGAGGGTGGGTATTTTCGTCTTGTAAACACCTCTGGACAATATCAGGACTTTTATGTAAAAGAGTTTTTTGTCTGAACCTCTTTATGAATAAGTAGCCCATGATTTTCTTATTTGCAATGGACCCATTTAACCGAGGGGTAGTTTTTGAAATACAACTTAGTTGAGTGTGATAAAAAAAGTGGTGGATTCAAAATAGCACCCCTTATAGAATTCTAGTCTCTATAAAATATATGATCAAAGTTTGCTCGGCCCGTTGTGCAAATTAGCGATAAGTATTTACACTTGATTAATTCAAGTTGGTCCACTGCATTTGCAGTTAAACCAAATTATTTTTTTATCGAGCTAAATATTTGAATGAACAAATTTATGTGAATTTTTTCTTCATTGAACCTCCTAACAACTTATAATACGATAAATAATAATGATGTAAAAATTAAGAATATTGTAAAATATATGATGAATGGTCAGTAAGTATGAGCAAATTATATAGTTTACGGTCATTTACGATCACAATATTGTATTAAACTAAATTTGTAAAATATTTCTTGCATGTCACTCTTTCTCAGGTTATTTAATGTTTGTGCACCGAATATAAATTTATTTGTCAAAAACACGAATCGTGAACCCTAAAAGTTTTATTTTTGCATGTCATATTATCATATTAAATATTTTAGTTATGTCTCTGAACATAATATTAACGAATTAATATTAAAGAATATCATATTCCTTTTATTTTGAATCATTCTTCATTCTTGAAAATTCCCACGAGAAAAATAAGTAAGAATTTGACCATATAACCACATAATATGCACAACATCTGCACTTTATTTGAACGAAAAAATTTGTTGGGGAGAATTGAAGACCATATTTCAAGCAAAACATTTTATAATTAATATAATTTTCATTCATAATCCTAAATAATTAGGAAAAACTACAATATCACGTTTGTTGAAATATGATATAATATTTAGGGAGCCCGGATTAAAAAGTTTGGGACAGGATTGGAATTTGAAATTCCTATCCCGAATCCCAAAATCACAAAATACCGAAATCCCGTCCCCAACTCACCCTTATCAAAAAATTTGGCGAGTTTATTTTTATCTTCATGAAAATTAAATCGGTATTGAACATTTATATGATTTAGAAGCTTTATTTTGACAAATAGGACATGTTTTGGATAATTCGATATTGAACATTTATATGATTTAGAAGCTTTATTTTGACAAATAGGACATGTTTTGGATAATTCGATGATGGGAAGGGGCGATCGATTTTCCATGAAATTATATATGGTTCTTCTGTTACAATCTTGCGGCAAACAATTATGTGCTCAAAAGATTTGGTTTTGATCATTTTAAATTGAAGTGAAGAAATTTATTTTGCTTTGGAATGTTTCATGTTGATACTCATAATGTTAACTAATTCCGTCAATTAATTGTTCATTGTATTTCTCGGTTTTAATCAACAAACCAATTAAATATGAATTGAACAATGGTGTGTTTACGTTGGTTTATTCTTTATTGATTTTTTTTAAATCTTTTTGGTTTGATAGCTATTAATTATATAATGGATTCTCCTCCAACATCTCCGTCGCACACAACTCCCCCGAACACAACTACAAACCATTTATCATAGCCCTTATAATTAGTATCCTCGTCATATCCTTATCCCTTACTGGCTTAATCATCTACCTAACCGCTCGACCTAGAAATCCGATGTTTGACGTCACGTCAGCAAATTTTACTATAGACGTCAAACCACTTGCCATCAATTTATTAATGGTAGTAAATATTGCAAGACCGAGTAGGAAATTGGCGTTAGATTCAAGCCCAGCACATTGAACTCAAATAATTTGGAGGTGATGTATCACTTGAACCCCTCAACTTGAAGCACCTTGATGAAGCTTGTTTGGTACAGGCTGTTGAGCGGAGGATCTGGTCAGAACCATCACGGAATGATGTTTTGATGCTTCAACAATTAGAGCATAAGATAAAGAAAATTTACATGTTAAAGGTTCTTTTAATGTTATAAC